GGGGGAGGGGCGCGGAGCGCGGCGCGGAGGCCGGGGAGGAGCCGGGGCCTGCAGCGGAGCCGAGCCGAGCCCGAGCCCGAGCCGAGCCCTGACACTGTCCGTCCGCCTTCTGGCTCCCCGGGAGCCCGGACTGGCCGGAGCCCGAGAGGTGGCAGCGCGGGGAGCCCCACGCGCCGAAGGGAGCGGACCGGACGGGACGGGACTAGAGGAGGCGCTGCGGCCACAGTAGCCAGTGACGGGCGTCGGGAACCGCGGCCTCCCGGACCCTGCTGCCCAGGCCAGCTGACGGAGAGCGGGGAGTACGAAAACCCCACCCTCTGGGGCACCCCGGGAGCGGAGGCGGGAGCGGGGACGGGAGCAGCCTCTCCCTGTTGGAGAGAAGACCCTTACCACCCGGGGGAGGGAAAGAAGAGACCCCTACAGGGGACGAGTCTCTCCTTCCTAGAGGCGAGGAAAATCCCCATCCTGGCCCGGGAATAGACCTCCAGAAGTAGAGGGGTGATCCTGACGAAAGGAAGCAGACAGACTGAGACCGCCCAGCGTGCCTCCACCCTCCAGACACACACTCTCAGCACTTCAGGACTTTTGAGGCAGAGAGGAGGAGGGATATGCCTATGGAGTAGGCACCCTGCATCCTATCCAGTACTCACAGGGGAGAGGAATCCTCACGTTCCGAAGGGAGGACACTCCAGAGCAAGAAGAGGAATCGGCTTTCAGCCTCTCAGGAGAGGGGAGGAACTTCCCCCTCAACTTCCTTGTATCTAGACAGTGGAACAGGGCAGAGCCCCTCCGCTCGAATCTTCGGCACACAGCAAGACCCCTCCACTCTCGAAAGATCCAGTTGAGGGGGGAGGGGGACTCCCCCAAGGGGGAGGAGACAACTCCTGGTTGGGAGAGGCTCCTCCCCTCTTCCCCCGAGTAACAGGCAGGGTGTGGGGGGTGTGCCACCTTCCCCAGGTAGGGCCTCCTTCTCCTCCCCCTCCTCCTTCCGCTCCTCATTCTCAGGGGACCCAGTTCCCCTCCCCAGCTTGGGATGCTCAGCCAAATATAGGAAGAGCCACTGAGGATGAGACTGTTCATCTGCCTTTGAAGAGGGGAGTCCCTCCAACCCCAAACTCCAGTACCAGGTGGTTCCCTCCCTTTGCTGGGGGAACCTTGGAGACAGGTTAGTGCTTTCTTTCATCTTCTCTGTGTCATCTTTAGGCATTAGTGGGTGTGGGGTCTGAGATGGTGGCTCTTGGGTTTCATTACTGGGGAAGGTGGAGTAATAACTCAGAGAATCCTCTGGGAAATGTGTTCTGAGGAAGCTCCTGGATTTGAACCCACATCTTGCTGCAGTGGCTTTGAGAAATGGGTTTCTTAGTGTTTGGGGAATAAAGGGATGGGATTCATTTGAGGTCCCTAGGAACGTGTGTGTTTTCATGCTGACAGCAAAAGGATATCAGAAAACACCTGCTTTTTCAGAACTCCATCTGTGCTGTGTAATAACGATGGACACATCCCAATCAGACTCCCATACCACCCTCCATCCTTGGCCCTTTCACCTGAGAGTGGGCCCTCACTAAAGTCATGGTGGCATTTCGTGGCCTGGCCTTGTTTAAGGCTTCCATTAGTATTATGTTTTCTCATTTGTAACCCTTGGTCAGCTTAATGTCCACCAGAGCTGTTGTCTCTACCGCCTGTGATTATTGCTCCCTTGACAGAAAAGCAGTCTGTCCCCACTCACCCTACCACAGACACCAAAAGGCCTCCTCTTATGATATTCCCATTCCTGGCTGGAAGCATGCCTCTACCAATAAAATCCAAAGGGAAAATGGGAATCCCACATGTTTCGAGGCAAGAAGGAAGGGTATAAATGAATGCCAGCTCTTGGGTTGAAGTTCTTCCCTGATGTTGGCCCTGTACCACTGCCCCAGTGCCCTACAGGACTCCTGTCCTTCGCTGACAGTTCCTCAGGAAAAAGCAGATCGTGGATGGGAAGAGAGGAGTGTTGCTGCTCAGCCTCCTTCCAGTCTTCCCTCTAAATAACTTCACCACCAGGGAGACTTGACCTCTGAGGAGTTTCCTTTTAGAAAAGCACCTAGTAGTCTCATCATCTCCCTTCCTGTTTCTTGTTCAGTTCTGGGTCTCTGGAACCTTGTATTTAAGTTTTCCTTCGTAATGTAGGAGCAGGAATCATCAAAGTCCAGAATCTTCAGAAAAGGCAGGAAAAAGTTGCCAGAAAATCCTTCTAGCTGAGCCCGGGCTATGTGTTTAGTAGCTCTCTGCCTTTCAACCTGGTATCACTAGCTGGGTGCCAGCCTTCCTGCCTTGCCAGAAGGAAATACCTTATCTTCTATAGGGGGTGTTATACCTCACAGCAAGGCCCCGTGAGAAGCTCATCTTACTTGGGTTTTTATGTTTCCTCCTTCTCTGTCTGCCTCATGAGTGCGCTGCCTACGTCCCTCAGTACCTCCACTCGGTCCTGGAGGCTACCTATTAGTAGTGTATAAGACAGGGCTGTAATCCAGGTTTGCATGGCTGTGCTTTGGCAGGATGTGCATATGTTCCTTAATTCAGGTGATTGTGGCTCTGTCTTTGTCTGTGTTTCGAGTGGGTATGTGTGTGGAGACAGGTACGGGTGTACTTTTCAGACTAAGCTTTCAATTGCCTAGAATTGCATATTTCCAGTAGGCCTCTAAAAGCAGGTGCCCCTGTGCAAGGAGCTGGAGAGGGTGCTGGTAAGGATGCCCAGCTGAGAGGAAAGGTTTGGCTTCGCCCGCCAGTGGAAGCCCTTGTGAATGGCTACATGAAAGTCATCCCACACAGCGGGGCAGCCAGTCTCAGGCTGGGACCGCTTCTTCTAGGACTAATAAGAGAGCTTCATTTCTGATGTCTCTGGTCTCAAAGGGGTGAGGATCCTTGGCTCCCAACTCTAGAACTCCCTCCCCCACTTTTTGGAAAGAGACAGCTCTGGTGTAGCAGCAGCCTGTTTCTTACAAAGTACTTCACCAGATGCTGGAATGCAACTTGTAGAATGGCTCAGAGGGAACTGTATCACAGCACCTCCAGGGGTACCACCGCCGCACGTTTAACTGGCCCCGCTTGGACTGAGTTGCCCTAATTCTCCCTGCTCTGTGGAATCAGTTAGAAGCAGATGGCTTTTGGGTTGGATTAACTGTGATTTAGCGAGTGCTATTTTCCAGATCATGTCTTATGAATAGCCCTAGCCCCCCTGGAAAATAAGACATGCTATTCCCCCATTCCTTCAGCCTTGGAGTTTACTCCGTCCTGGCATTGGTCAGTACTGGGGTGACACTATCCCCAAAGAAGAGGTTTAAGGTTCTGACATCCTGAAAACTATTGCAAGCTCAGTGCAGGCTTTGCAATGTAAACCATTGCAGGCTTGCTGCTTCCAGTCTTACCTCTATGATCTGTCAGTTTTCTAATTTTTAATTTCTAATATTCTCTTTTTCTCCATTCAAAAATATTAATAGCTACACTTACATAACGCTTACTAAGTGCTTTAAAGATATTAACTCAAGGTAATCCTCACAACAACTCTATGTAGGTCCAGTTATCATCTCTATTTTATAGATAAAGAAACTATAACAGAGAGCTTAAGTAACTTGCCTGAGGTTGCACAGCCAGTAGGTAGTGGATCCAGCATTGAAACCCAGGCAGCCTGACTGGTAATTGGTAATGTGGTTAACTTAGCCACTGCTCTCTTAGTTTAGGCATTATGTCCAGAGCAGGAAGTCATCACTCCTTAATACCTGACATTGGCAGCACACAGAGAACAATTACTGGCCTTTCAGATAAAATGGGAAGAAAACTGTGCCTATGATTTTGCATCTTATACGTCTCATCCAGGATCAGTCTTCCACTCCAACAGAATGTCTTTCTGTTTTTCTCTGCCTTTCTCCCAGTACTGTAGTCTTCATTAGACGTCCTGTGGATGTGATGGAGCCTGCCCTTTGGCTGCCTTTCCCAGTTTCTGTGGGTATTTCCTTTCAGTCTTCCAGCACACAGAGAAGAATGTGGCCTGACTCAGATTCTGCCCAAGCCCAGTGGCACAAGGCCCACCTGGAGAGAGAGGTCTGGGTAACTAGGTTGATTGGACTGAGAAATGGAAGTACCTCTTGTTTGCCTTTCTAATAATAGCCCTGAACATTAGCCTCGTGCCATTATTTTGGGGAGTGTGGAATGTGTGGCAGCCACGAGCTCATTAAGCTTCATTCACTTCCCTCCAGGGAGGAAGCTTTGGCTGTGTTTATGACTTCATCCCTTTTGTTGAAGGGGGAAACTGAGGCATCAAGACTTCAGGGGGCAAGGAGTGGTTAAGGACATTTAGTGAGTCAGTGTCAATGTTGGGAATAGAACCGAGGAGCCTCAGTCCCTGGGGTTCTACCCACTGGGCTCCCCTTCAAGAATGGGGAAGTGGCGGGGTGAGGCAGTGGGATGGGTTAAGGGAGAATGGTGCTGAAAGATCAGAAGGATCTTTTGCTGTAAGCTTCTTGTAGCTGGTGAGACTGGAATATATTTTGAGTGCTGGGGCAGTATCTGGAGGGCTGACTGGGAGAGTGCTGGAGGAAGGTTAAATTTAACCTCCGTGTCCTAACCTGGTGCTGGGGTAAGGATAGGAGAGGGCATAGAACAACTAGCAAAAGGCTGAGAGTGCTTCCCTCTCCGGAATTCACAGTGATTGGCACGGGCCAAATGGGTTCTGCTAACCACTTTAAATCTGCTCTCATGGCCCTGTCCGATGTTGACAGATCTCAAATGAGATATCCACTGAAGGCTTCGGTGTTCTTAAGATGAGATTTCCTAGGGATCTTTAGCAGGAGATAGTAGGGAATAGGATAAAACTTCTATATAGACGTCCCCTTCTGGGGAGGACCCAGGAGGCCCCTGGTCATTGAGAACCTGCTCAATGTCATGTCAGTGTCCAGCTGGGATAACCCAGCTACAGGACCGGATTACTGCCGAAAGTGCCCTGCTTTACTGCAGAGGCCGTGGTGTTTTGACTTAGTAAAGTGCTTGGTGGTCTGAGGCTTCCTGGAATGATTCAACTCCCTATTAGTTTCCAACTTTCCATGGCTTTAGAGCAAAATGGTGGTGGTGGGATGAAAAGGAGGGTGGTGGGGAGAGGAGCTAAGGATAAAGGGGGAAACCCCTTCATGATGCTATCGATGCTATTTATACACGTGGCTTTTTTTTTTTTTCTTTCTCCTGTCAAACAATTCTTGGGTTGCCCTTGGGTCTCCTGCTGCCCAGGCCCCTGAGGCACTAAGGTGTTCCCTTCAGCCTTGTGGAGTGGGTGTGTTGCTGGTGAGGAGCACAGGGCAGGGTACTGGCGTGTACATGCAAAGATTGTGTGGGTGGGGACCTTGGGAGAGGGAGGTGAGTGAGAATGCTGACCCTTAGGAGAAAGGGCTAAGTGTCAAGGAGAGAAGAGTCACCAACTGGAAGAGTGAGCTGGGAGCCTGAAAGATGTGTTGGAGTCAGGAGAAAGGGGTAGGCAGTCATATCTGGGATTAAGCTTTTAACTGCAAAGTGTGTGTACTTGTGTATTGTTGTATGTGTATGCTTGTGCATATTATCTGGGTGTGGATTTAGAGATTATATACATAATACACTTCTGTCCAGGATTCTGAACTCTGAGGCATGCTAGCCCTGGCTCCTCAAGAGAAGTGCCCTGGTGGGACCTTCAGCAGGGGTATGAGGAAGAAATACTAGCTGGAATCTGGTGGCAGTGCAGGCACAAACCTGTTAGGCAGCAAGTGCTTAGGGGGTTGCTGGCATCAACTCTAGTGGAGTGCCAAATGGCTACCAAGTGGTTCCTGCCAGCCTTTTTAGACCCTGAAATACAGATGTCACTCATCGTTTTTCACCTTCCCCCACCAAGACGTCACTCTAGCTACTCCTCTCCACCAGCAAGAGCGCCCAGGCTGTGTGGGTGGCAGCAGGGTGTGCAAACAGCAGGCGTGGGTGGTTTGGCAGCACCAGGAGTTTGCATGGAGGTGCAGTGAGCTTGCGTGCCTGGCTGGGAAGGAAGGAGAGAGGAGGAGGGCGGGAGAAGGGGAGCCAGCTCTTAGCCCCAGAGTGGCTATTTTTAGCCAGGCTATCTGATTGTTACCGGTGTGCACACAGCTGGGTGTCTCCCTGGCTCAGCCAAGCCAGGCTGAGAGGTGGGCGGTCCTTGCGGATGACTTCTTCCTGGTGTTGGTGTCTGTGGGCGGGAGCTTGCAGGCGGTAGCTTTAAAGGTGTGAGGGCAGCTGTACTCAGGATCTGTTACCTGTGTGTGTGACTTTGTGCTCTGTTGGTAATGTATGCTGTATATCTAATTGTGATCTCCGTGTATGTGGGCCACTGTTTATGTGTCTGTCTTGCATCTGTCCTTTGCTGGTTGTCGTATGTAATTTATGCTTGGGATATATCTCATATGCCTCACGTGCACATGTATGTGGGATGAAAAGACAAATGCTTAAATATACGTAATAGGAAACATCTTGAAAAGTGTTGATGTGTGCTTCATTTGTATACATATATTTGCGTTTACTCAGACTGTTTTTCTTTCCATGTTCACTCATGCTATCTATCTGTGGATGTTGTATGTAAATATAACAAGTGTCACATAATTGGAGAATAGACTTGGCCCATTTTTACCTGCTATATAAATATTTTCTAGAAAAATTATTTCTATGTAGTTTAAAAATATTATGTTATAGGGCTTATAAGTAAGGAGACTTGAAGGAATAGCTCCATTTGGTGGGTGGTTTGATCTTTCTTAGTCCTGCATGAAGGGAGAAGCCTCTTGGCCATGTTCTGCATTAAGGTGTAGGATCAGGACCAGTCTGTCACCTGGTAGATGATTGGTGATATATCCATTTGCAGTTCTGGAACACCTGGTGGAGGACTGGCCCCCGAGAGAAGTCTTCTGTGGGAAGTATAGTGGGAAGAAACTCTACTTCCCTTAAAGCTCTAGGATTGAGTATTACCTGCCCCCAGTAACCAGAGGTAACACTCATCTGTTCTCTTTTCCTCTCCCCTTTGTCCTCTTCTCTACAGAACCCAGAAATACCATGGCTTCTGACCTAGAGAGTAGCCTCACTTCCATAGACTGGCTCCCCCAACTGACCCTCCGAGCTACCATTGAGAAGCTTGGGAGTGCCTCCCAGGCTGGGCCTCCAGGGGGCAGCCGCAAGTGTCCGCCAGGCTCACCCACCGATCCTAATGCCACCCTGAGCAAAGATGAGGCAGCAGTCCACCAGGATGGCAAACCGCGATACAGCTATGCCACCCTCATCACCTATGCCATCAACTCCTCTCCAGCCAAGAAGATGACCCTCAGTGAGATTTACCGCTGGATTTGTGATAACTTCCCCTATTACAAGAATGCTGGCATTGGTTGGAAGGTGGGACAGCTTCTATAACCTGAGATTATTTTTAGCCTTCGACAATCTTTTTCTCTACTTTTGCTCCTTATACAACCTGGTCCAGTTCACTCTGACCTGTTACAGAGATGTGTGAACTTAAAATCTCACATCTCCCATCCCCTGCTTTTTTTCAGAGTCGAACAACTTTCATAAGGTTTATCAGGGAAACTCCCGTGATACCAAGCCAGTAACTATACTTATGGGGATGGCAGGATGCTGTTGCTCATCATACCTTCTTATCTCCTGACTCTTCAAAAAAGAGATTCATTCATTTCACAAATATTTATTGCCACTCTACTGTGTTCAAGTCACAGTGCAAGACATGGCATTGCTTCCTCCTACCTAGAGGAAGGAATCTCATCACATTTCCAAAGCCTCACTGTACACAGTCATCATCTTTTAAAAAATTGTATATCAAGAAAGAAATAATATAATTAGGTCCTTCACCAGCAGCTCATCCACCAAGCAAGTAATGAGAGGATAAGTTGTTTGGCTGGAGATAAAAGAAGAAGGGGACTCCTGTGCCAAGCAAAGAAGGAAGGCTGATGTTCTTAGTCGTTTGGAGCAGCAACTCATTTGCCAATTGTTGAGCAGAAATGGGGATTTGATGTAGTTCTCTTACTCTATAAATCACCAGTTGACCTATAAACCAGATGATGATCTGGAGACTGTTGAAAGCATTCAGTTTTTCCTTTATAAATCTGTCCCTCCTGGCTACCACAACCCCCAGCCCCTCCTAACACACGTGCAAACAATATTTCTTTTCTCCAAATGTGACCATGCTATGGGCTGTTGAGAAAACAAAGGTGAACTGTGCCTTTGTTTCACTCATAATTTATATTTTGTTATCATTTATGTACACAGTTTTAAAACATTGTTCTTTTACTACAGATAGAATGAATTAAGGAACTGGGCAGATGTGATTTTGAGGCATTTATATGCCTGTTGCCAGTTGGGTGGAAAAATTGAAAAACTATAATCAGCTTTCCAGAAGCACCTGGTAGTCAAATTTATAGCCAGTACCTCTCAATTTAATTTCTGCATTTTTCTCATCTCATTGTTCTTGCTACTGATAGGTAATTTCCTCCATCAGTGTAGTTAAGAGGTGCTAAGTACCCTGATGCTTGAACTTTATTGTTTGTCATGTCCTTTTATGTCTCTGTGTGTCCTATTGGAAAATTTTCTGTTTTGCACAATGCGCAAATCTAATTTGCTTCTCTGCTTCCCCAGAATTCAATTCGGCACAACCTTTCTCTCAACAAGTGTTTCCGGAAGGTGCCCAGACCTCGGGATGACCCTGGGAAGGTGAGATACTGCCGTAAGCATTGAAGGGAGGAGCAGGAAAGAGAGAGAAATAGTTGACAGCCCAGAGTCCTGTGGCTGTTTTAATTACCCAGAAGAGGAAATCATGTTAATTAGAGAAGCAGCTTTATTTCTTCTCATAGGAAAAGCTTGGTTATCAAGCTTGTGGGCCCGCACTAGAATGAGTGGCTAAGGAAGATTGTGAAATCTTTTTTTTTTAATAGAAATATCTGTGATAAAGTTGACTTTGATACCTCCTTTTTTTGTGTGTGGCACTCTTTCTAGATGTAAAAGGTGGACTTAATAACCTTTGTGGGAAATTTTCTATACAGAAATCCCGTGATTTTTATCTTCAAAGGGGAGAAGGAAGAGGTTATTCTCTTCATTTGACAGATGTGGATGCTAAAGTTCAAGAGAGTCTTGCCTCCCGTCACATGGAAGGGAAGGGTTGTGTCTGGGCATTTCCAGCTCTTTGAACTAGGTACCATTGTTCTGCCCCTCCAGGCCTGTGTTTGGACAACAGGGAGTACCTCTGATATACTCTGAGCTTTTAGGACAAATTTACTCCTCAAAAATAGCCGGTACCCTCAGGATTCTCTGAGAATCTCCGGTCATTTTTCTTAATATAGCTGTTATTTTATGTGAAAATCCTCCCAAATATCTACTTTTCCGAAGCTGGGAATTTCCATTTATAATGATTTTGTTCTCTGTGGCGATGGATTCTCCTTCTAGGGCTCTTATTGGACAATCGACACCTGCCCTGACATCTCCCGAAAGAGAAGACACCCTCCAGATGATGATGTAAGTCCTCGTGGGGAGATGCCGTTTCTGAGCCAGCTGCTCCTTCCACATTCCTTCCTGTATTATCAGTCCCTTCTTATATTTGGGGCAAGGGACGAATACCAGCAAAGCTGAAACCGTGGGTCTTGGGAAGATATTTAGCTTCTGCTTAAAGATTTCTACTCTTTCACAACCCTCAGCTATCCCAAGACTCACCAGAACAGGAAGCAAGCAAGAGCCCACGGGGAGGCGTTCCAGGGAGTGGAGAAGCCTCACTGCCTCCAGAGGGGAATCCTCAGATGTCACTTCAGAGCCCCACACCCCTCACCAGCTACAGCCAGGTAGGAAGTAGAGGTAGCAGGGGCAGAGGGGTGGACGGATGGATGAGTGATTGAATAGATTCATGTATCTGTTGGTTCAAAATTATGTATTGGTTATCTGTGATGTAGTAGGCGGATACATTGAGAAAGAAGGGGAAAGCAAAAGAGGGAAGCTGAAAGAGACAGACAAAATAGAACTTTGAGGAAGATCAGAAAAAAAAAAGTGATGAGAAGAGAAGAAAGGGAGCCAAAAAGCTTATGAAAAAGGAAAGATGGGCATGGATGTAGCATAGGAAAAGGGCAAGAGGCTACATCAAGACAGGAATGAATGAGAAGAGAGAAAGTGATGCTCATTCATTGAAAAGTTGGGAAAGGATGAAGAGGACAGGCAGGAGAGCAGGGTAACCATTGAAGGGTTGTATTGGTCCTTCATTTAAGACATGGATCAAGTCTTTCTTACCTCTTTTTTCAGGGCACAGGATCTGTGGATGGCGGAGCAGTGGCACCAGGAGCTCCAGGCCGAGAAAGTGCTGAGGGTCCCCCTCCCCTGTATAACACCAACCATGACTTCAAATTCTCCTACTCAGAGATCAATTTTCAGGATCTAAGTTGGTCCTTCCGCAACCTCTACAAATCCATGCTGGAGAAATCCTCTTCCTCCTCTCAGCATGGTGAGTCTGGAGTTGGGATGGAAGCATGGACATCCTTCTATTTTTGAACAGATGGTGACATTCTCTTCTCTCCCTTCTTTCTTATTTTTAACACAAGGAGAGTTCGATCACTACTCAGAGGAAGCATGTCATGAACCAAAACTGTTTGGAGTCCAGCTCTCCTGGCTTAGTTCTGAAGGACAGCTGTTTTGGGAGACGGGCTGGGTTATTAGCTTGAGAATTTGAGTTGGAGGAATCCCCCTTCTAGAACTAAGGGCAATGGTTTTATGGCTGCAAGCAAGTCATTTAGAGGATGACCACTAGGGGACAGCAGTACATAGTTCCTTTTCCCTAAGAATCCCTGAGTTTCATTGTGAGAACAATTTAATTTTATGTTTTAGCATATTTATGTTAATTTTTATTAGGAAAAATTTCAAACAGATGCAAAAGTAGAGAAAATAGCATAGTAAACCCTCATGTTTCTATCGCCCAACTTTAATAGTTACTAATATTTTGTTAAGCTTGTTTCATTTACCATCAAGTTTTTTTTTAATTGGAATAATTTAATGCAATTCCTAGACATATCATTCTACCTGTAAATACTATTTCACTATGCATCCTTAATGATTAAGACTTTTCTTTTAGTTATCCATTGCTATTATCACTCCTAACATAATTAGTAATGCTTCCTTAATATCGGTTTATATCTTGTCCATACTCAAATTTCCTGAATTATCATGTGAGAACTATTTTAAGTCCTTATTAGGAAGCTCCTTGAGAGATTGTCTGGTGCAGCCCTCTGCAATACCTGTTTTGCTTTTTTTTTCATTTTATTCTTTTTAAAGAAATTAGAGGTAGGGGTGAGTCAAGACTTCAGGTGAGTCATCAGACCTTGTTCTGTACAGTGGCCTTATATAGGCAGTAGAAGACGAATGGAATGATAAAAAGCAGTTAGGGGCCGGCCCCGTGGCTTAGCGGTTAAGTGCGTGCGCTCTGATGCTGGCGGCCCGGGTTCGGATCCCGGGCGCGCACAGACCCAGCGCTTCTCCCGCCATGCTGAGGCCAAGTCCCACATACAGCAACTAGAAGGATGTGCAACTATGACATACAACTATCTACTGGGGCTTTGGGGGAAAAAATAAAATAAATAAAATTATTAAAAAAAAAAAAAAGCAGTTAGAAGTCACTTTGTGGAAAATCTATATTAATTGTTATGAATTTCTTCTTTTATATCCCAGAGGATTCATAGCCAGAGTTGTGTTCCAAGACTGTAGCATTTACTTGAGAAATGAGTCCAATTCAGGTGATTGGTTGATTGGAAGTGGGGAACATGGAGGGACTGTTAGAAACAAAGTAAAATATTAGGTTGAGCGAGGACAGCAAAGACAACCTCTAGTTCTTCCCTGCCCAGTCTGTTTGAGAAAGGCATCCATCCTACTCCCCTTCTCACCCAAGCCCCATTTGTTGGTAGTGAATACAAGAAGGAGGTACAGTAGGAGATTGTAGAGAGAATAAGAAGAAGAGATAATAGCTATACAAAAGCTTTGTTTTATTTATAATTTGCTTTTTAAACTTTACCCGATGTCTGATTTCTTTTGAAACTGTGATTCCAAGCCCACCCCAAAATCCTTGAAAAATAGCATAAAAAGGTACATGCTGACCTTTTTGCTAAAATTTCAGTGGTCACCACACTGTCAAGGCCCTCCCTCTGTCTGTTATACCTGCCAGGGGACGGGGGAAGCCAAGGGGATCCTTGCTGTTCTAGAACACCCTTACACTTTGGAGTCTGTGGTTCTGTCTGAGGCCTCCCATCTCAACCCAGTGGAAATCCTGTTTAGTGAGAAATGCATTGCCCAAGTCACTTGCCTACTTCCTCCCACCCTGCAGGCTTTTCGTCTCTCCTGGGGGACATGCCTCCCTCTAACAACTACTACATGTACCAGCAGCAGCAGCCGCCGCCTCAACAGCAGCAGCAGCAGCCACCACCACAGCCACCGCCCCAACAATCACAGCCACAGCAGCAGCAGGCATCAGCCCAGGGCCCCTCAACTGTAGGGGGTGCTCCTCCACTGCACACCCCAAGCCCAGATGGTTGTACCCCACCAGGGGGGAAGCAAGCTGGGGCTGAAGGCTATGGGCCTCCTCCTGTGATGGCTATGCATCCACCCCCACTGCAGCATGGAGGCTACCACCCACATCAGCACCATCCCCACTCCCACCCTGCCCAGCAGCCGCCACCACCGCAGCAACAGGCACAAGGCCAGGCTCCTATCAACAGCACTGGCTTTGGTGAGTAAGAAGGGTGCAGGGAGATCCTAGAGGAGGGGGGAATGACCCCCTCGTTCTGACTCTGACAAGGGGGTGCAATTGGTTAGGAAGTTAATAGTGGGTCTTTTAGCCTTGCTCCCCCATGAGGGCTCATCTGAGCAAACGGAAGTTGCTACTTAGAGCTTTGTAGTATAGAATTCTTGGACAAATTGGGATACTTTTACATATTCTCCTGCTTATGAGCTGGGCTATCTATACCTAAAGCATAGACAGCTTTACTAGTCTTAAATCTCCAGGGAGGGAGATTCCAAAATTATCTTGGTAATGAAATTGGTAACCTGGAATCTTGAGTGCAGTCAGTCTGCTATCAGTTGGCTGCTGTCTTACACGTCCCTCACTCTTATTACCCACTTTCTCCTCCTCTTTACAGCCTTTTCTCCTGACTGGTGCTCCAGTATTGACTCCTTAAAGGAAAGCTTCAAGATGGTGAATCGGCTCAATTGGGCCAGCATTGAGCAGTCACAGTTGTCAGGTTAGTGATCAAAGGATGATTATTGGAGGGAAGAGGGATATATTGTAAGTGGAAAAACCCAATATAAGCCTAAACCAGAAGGGAATGTTTAAGTGAAGTTTGAGGATTGAGGATTTCATTATTTCCCCTCCGTATTTCATAAGGTGGATAATATTGATATTATTTTCAAATTAATTTTAATTAGTTTTGCCTGAACTCAACATATGACAATGGCTTATCTTAGCTAATACTCTGGGAGAAGGAAGGCTGTCCAGAATTAAGAAACTCTAGACCGCTACTTTGTAGTTTTGTCACCATTTACTGACAGTGTGACCATGGCCAATTCACTCAGTCACTTTGAAATTTTTTCTTATTCATTACTAAGGTGGAAATTATAATAAGAATTTAGTAAGGAACAAATAAAATGGAAGTTTGAGAATATAAAGCTCTAACAGATGTCAATTACTGTTGGTAATGCGTATCAGTGGTGTTGATTTAGGATGTGGTTGAAAGAGTGAGATGGCATAGATCTGGTAGGGGCTTTGGGGCCTGTGCAAGGTTGGCATTTCTTCTCTACTTATAGAACTGATGGAGAGCCTGCGACAGGCAGAGCAAAAGAACTGGAGCCTTGACCAGCACCACATTGCCAATCTTTGTGACTCCCTCAACCACTTCCTTACTCAGACTGGTCACGTGCCCCCCCAGGGGGGCTCCCACCGACCACCAGCCCCTGCCCGCATTGCTGACTCCTGCGCCCTCACCAGTGGCAAACAAGAGCCAGCCATGAACCAAGGTACCAAGCAAAGCAGGTTGCCAAGCGGGTGGAGACTGATGAAAAGGGAGAGGGAGGAGAAGGGCAGAAGAGAATTGAGAAAAATCATCTTAAGGGCTCTGATCCGGACTGATCAGTGGGGCTAGTTTGTCTGCCACATTGACTGCAATCTATTGTGTCAGTAAAGTCCTATACTGAAAAATGCCAGAGACGTAGACCATATGATTTCTTTTTAGACCTTGATTTGGGAGATCAGAATTACTTAAGAAAAGGGAGGAGAAAATCCCCATTCCAAATTTGTGTCTCAGTAACCCCTACCTGGATCGTATCAGGTGGAGGCATGATTCTCTACAGTTATATGATCTTCAAACCAGTGAAATGAGAGAGATTAGATGGTCATGTTTCTGTATTTGTTATCCTTTTAATATCTTTGATATTTCATAATGCTAGTATCCAGTCCCATTTTACCCTCAGTGGTGAGGACTCATAGCTTCTGCAGAGAGCCTTCATGCCTGCAGGGCTACAGAACAGAGCAGGGCAGGGAGAAGAGATGAGGAGAGGAAGAGTACTTTTTTTCCCTCTCTATTGGACCCTGCTTCTTTGAGTATAATGATCCCACTCAAGTAACTCTAGTCTTGCTTTGGCAGTGAACTCTTATGGGCACCCACAAGCCCCTCACCTCTATCCTGGCCCATCACCGATGTACCCAATCCCCACCCAGGACTCAGCAGGATACAATCGCCCAGGTAAGAGCCAGGAAGCTGGTTTCACCACCAGCTGAGCACTCTCTACCCTGAAGAGTTGTTTCTCTTTCCTCTGGCTCTGAGCCTGCATTCTCTGCCCTTTTTTCTGCACCTGGGAGGAGGAGATGAGCCTTCATGATTCCCAAGGCTGAAGGGTGGGCCACCTGCTGGGGAGGGGTATGTCATGGGAGACCAAAGAAGACCAATTTACTTTAAGATTACCTTGTGTCTGCAATAATGAAAGGAAGTAAAAGCATGAATATAAACAAAAGATAGATATGTGGAACACGTATCTAGCTTTGGAATCTAGATGGGCGCTATACTCAGGCAAATAAAATGAATGTGTTCTATAAACATACCTGCTTTGTGCCCATGTCTGCTTTCCTGTTGCCTGACCTCTAGTATCCAGGGTCTGGGACTGAACTATCTCTGATGGTGGGGGTGGGGGTAGAGACCCTAAGTTGCCATAAGTAGTATAAATTTAATAGATCCTTCACCTTTAAATACATTTTAGATAAGTCACTATGATCATCCAGCCTAATCACAAGTGTTTTCAATTTTTTGGGTGACATCTGACTCTTTGTCCCTGTATTCCTTATCCATGTAATATATATACAAATTTCTGTACTGCTATTTCATATAATAGTACATTCTGTGTGTGTTTTATCATTATTACACAGTTTTCACAAGTGTAATTTTCAATGGCTGCATGCTATTATATTGCCGTGTGACCTAGTTTACTCTAGTTTATTTCTTGAGACCTCACTGAAGTGGTGGCTGACAGCAAAAGAAACTCTGGGCTGACAACGACAATGGTTTCACCAGACCTTCCTCATGGTATTATTTGGGGCTGAGCACTGCCCATCTAGATTGATAGAATAGCTTCCCATCCACTCTCCTTTTAATCTCTTTCTCTTTTTCTGACAGCACACCATATGGTCCCTCGGCCGCCGGTTCCACCTCCTGGTGCCAGTGAGGAGATCCCTGACGACTTCGACTGGGATTTGATCACTTAGTGCCTCACAGAGTGTGGCCATCAGCCCAGGGCTGAGTGGTGAAGTCTGGCAGTGGGGAGAGAGCAGCCCCAGCCCGTCCCTTCTCCACTTGCCTGTATATAGATATATATCCTCTTTGTTCTTTCTCTGTCAGAGAAGCCACCGCAAGATGCTGCCGAAGATAACCCCCTCTTTCCTGCCTCATTCTTCCTCTTCTTGTTTTTTCCTAATTCTTTTATTATTATTCTTATTATATTATTATTATTATTATTGTTGGTTATATGCTGTCCCCAGTCTCCTGTCCCTACATCATGGACCATGTCCATCCTTTGCTAATTTAAAATCATCTGCCTGGAAGGTGAGGCCGTGATAGCTACAGAGAAAGGTTTCAAACTTGGATTTACTTTTCTCTTTGAGAAATTCAATGCTAATCCCACCTTTCAGCCCTGAATTTTTTTCTATTCCTGTCAGTTCAGTCCAGGAATGGAGAGGCCACGTTATCAAGTAGAAGGGATCTAAAACACTGCTTGGCAGCCATGAATTTGCAGGTTTTACTCAATGGTGCTAATTTTGTCCTCTGAGCTCTTCCTTGTCCTTTTATATCTTCAGTCCTTACTTCTGCCAATCCTCATTCCCCATCAAGGGTAAGAGTGATGGTGGTGGTGCAGGAGGTGACAATAAAATCCTAGGCCTGGGTTGGGTTGAGTAGAATACTATAGAGGGGCGATGGAATATAAAAGAGTCAGAAATTGGGTATATACTGGTATGTCAAATAAACTTTCTTTGGCTTATCTAGCCCATTCTGTATAGGAGACAGTGTTGGTCTTAGTCAGAACTCTGCTTCAATGGTAGGGATGAGGACAACTATTCAGCATAGGGTTAGCTTTTTGGAGATGGTACCGATTTAACCATTGGCTTTTTAAACATAATTTTCTCTGGAAATTAACTGTGGCTGTTATTTGCATTTACGAATCCTTCAACCCCCTTTTCCCATTCAGCAAATATTATTTTGTCCTCCTTTAGTTGTTTGCTCGACTCTTCTACCCATCTTATTTTCTTCCCCCATTTTCTGAGATTCTCAAGAAAGAAAAGTGACCCATTATCACTCCTGGTTTCATCATGCCCTAAGACAGGATAGGAATCTCTTTCCCACCTATCATAGCAGAACCAAATCTCTAGCATTGGTGGTAGGAGGATGGGGAAAGGAAAAGGGAGCTGGCCCAGACATGGGTAGGGAATATTTCAGTTATTTAATTCTGTAGCCAAATGCTTCTCTTGGAATCCAGATCATTGGGGCTGAGGCTTTTGCAATTAGGCTTTTGAGGGTAAAGGAAATTGGTAGAGGGGAGTAAATAACCTAGAGAGAAGAGTTCAGTGAGGGCCAAGGGAGACCCCCAGAAAAAGCTCTAGGGATAATTTATCTCCTTTAACAAGGAGTGGCCATGATTTATTGCTGCAAAGTACTTAGTGTATATTTAATGTTAATTGTTGACCTTTAGTTATGAGAGGGAAGAACAATTTTACTTCTGTTTTCATTTCACTGAATGTTCACTTTCTGAAAGCTACAGGACAAAGTGTATGGAATGGACAAGCCACTCCCTCTCTGATTTCTGCTTTTTGTTCATACTGTTTTATTTACCCATGATTTCCAAGAGATCTAGCTTTTTGCTCTCCTGCTTTTTCCCCTCATGCACCCCTTCCTTTCTTTGTAAGGGGGTTATATGTGAGAGTTTGTTGAAGAAATCCAGTAAGGCTGAAGTAAAGGGGCAAGAAAGGGCGGTTAACTAAAGAGCACTTTATTTCTTTGAAGTTTTTGGTAAGAAATGGGGGTGTGAGTGGCTTGAATCCCCCATTGTGTTGGAGGGCAGTTAGTGGGGTTGAAGTATGACATAATATTTCCCATTGGGGAAAGGGTAATTTCTCTTAGAGGGTGGTAAAATGCCTTTGCCCTGTGTCCCGATTTTAGGCATCTCTTCCTTATTCCTTCCAATCAAGGTGCCTCCTACACACAACTTCCCATCTGTTCTCCCCAAGATTTCCCTGTTGCGAATCATCACTCCTCTTTTCTAAACCCCTTTTCTACTCAGATCCATACAAGATTTGCAAAGGTAGACTAAATCATACATGTAAATGTCCCTTTTTATAATTCATCCGTGTCTTCTGAAAAGTAGTCTCGTTAAGAACCTTGGTGGGATCCAGAGTAACTGAAGTTTGGGGCTAGAGCTGGAGATTGTCCATCAGGCCTCCTGGGATTTTAGCTCCCCTCCACTAAACTCAGCCTTGCTAAATGGCACAGCACAAACCTGACTTTCTTTGGGCCTCAGTTTCCCCTCCCCTCTGTGAAATGGAAAGAATACTACTTTTTCTTGTTGGTCCAGCATTGTTGGACTTGAAGTATAGTCATTGTTGTTGTATTGGGTGATGTGTGCAAAACTGCAGGAGCTCACTGCCTACAAGAGGAAATAGGGAGAAAGTGGAGAAGAGGGACAGAAGGAGCAATTATTTGGTATAGATCCACCCATCCCTGCCTTCCTCTCTTCAACCCCCATGTTTCTGGTTTGGTGAGTCCTTCATACCACCCATAATGCTTTGCATTGGTGCAGGCTGGGAAGGGGGTGTGTGGTCTCACAAGTTGTTGTTTTTTGCATGCTTTCTTAATAAAAAAAAAAAAAAATATGAATGTTTATGGGTTTGTCTTACCGGTGCTGGTCTAATGTTTCTTCTTGCCAGGCTAGGAAGGGAGAAATGTGACAGCATTTGTTTTCAGTTGGCCTTTAGCCTCTCCCCCACCTTCTACCCCAGGGTGTGATTAGTTGACCCTGAAATTTTTTGTAAGATTCGTGGAAAAGAATAGTTAAAAGCATGCCTTTAACATTCCTTTTTTCAAATGCTATTAAATATAGTGAAATATTGTTGGGAGAGGCAGTCACCCCTTGCAGCTTGGTGTATGGACTAGGCCACTTTGCTTGCATTTGCATTCTGGGAAATTTTAAAGATTAAAGATATTACAATTTGTGGAGAAGTTGGGTCCCCATCTGGGACTTACTGTGAGTACTTACAGGTACTCACCAGAGTTTTTCATCAGAAATTATGAAATTCAAATTGTAGGAATTTCTTCAAAATACATTTCCAAGGTAAATGGAATTCTCAAAAGGAGTCCAGAAAAGCCAACTATTGAATCTTTATAACTATGCCAAGATCATTCACCCTAGTATCCTATACACTAACCTCAGGAGTCTGGAACTTATACTCAGGGTCTTGTGAGATGTGTTGGGATTTTCAGAAGGCTAGCTACTTGCCAATATAGGAAGCCTATGAGATTTAACTGTTGTATATTTAGAGATTATGATATATTCTGAGTGTCAAACAATTAAAAAGATCCATGAATCTCTGAGCCTTGCAAGGAACCATGAGAAAGAAAGCATTTATTCACATCAAATATATAAGCAGATTAAATTGGAAGGTAGCATTGCAAATCTTGCATTGTCAGACATTATTACCTCACAACTGAAAGAATTCCTAGTGATTTGAAATTGTTTTGCATAGTACTTTATAACAAATTTGTAGTCCTAGACCCTCACCTCAACCATTGAACAAATAATAATGCCTTGCAAGTCTAAAACATCTCATTTTCTATTTTTTAGATGAAATCATTATATTCAGCTTAGATGAAGCTATGTGTAGTACAAACAAACTTGAAATTTTAGAGATTTAACACATAAAAGTTTATATACAGAGAAAAAGGAGAAGGTGATAGGGAGTTGAATATCTTTAAAAAATGAAAGAAGGATAGGAGGAAATCTATATAGATGGTTGGAATGATTAGACAAAGTAGAAGAAACTGTGTGGGGGCCTGCCCGGTGGCATAGTGGTTAAGTTTGGGCACTCTGCTTCAGCGGCCTGGAGTTTGCAGGTTCAGATGAACCTACACACCGCCCATGAAGTCATGCTGTCGTGGCAAAAAATAGAGGAAGACTGGCAACAGATATTAGCTCAGGGCCAATCTTCCTCACCAAAAAAAAAAAAAAAGAAAAGAAAAAGAAAACGTGTGATATGTGTGATCATGAACAAATTAAAGTATGATGGTTAATGAATATTGGGATGCTGGATAAACAAAAAAATACTAATGTGTTTGGATAAAATTCTTCATCTTTCAAAACAAGAAGTCATTTTATCATGTCTACAGAAACTAGCAGCATAAGCATATGATTTAGAAATATGGTAGGTATCTGAAGAAACATCTAAAATTGTTGCAAGAGTTATCTCTGGGAAATGGGCGTGGGAGGAGGGAGTGGTTGGGCAGAGTGGGGCAGGAAATTTCTTATATTTCATTATAAGCCTTTAATTCTCTTTAAACTATGTGCATGTATTACTTTGGTAAAGAAAAGGATTAATTTAAAAAACCCAAAGATACACTTTGTAATTTTGGCATAAAAGATACATACCTATAGTTATGTTTTTAAAAGTTTGCTAGTATTGCCAGGGGTACTCAGTCATTTTGTACCTTCACCCTCTTTCTCTTTTCATTCAAAATGAGTTTCTTGGGAAATATTAATTTGGAGCAAGAGGAGGGGAGTAATTTGAATCTTATGAAATTAGTTTATTAGAGGCACAAAGTCTAATGTGGAAGAAGATTTAGAGATGGGAAGAATAAAGGAATTAAGGAGCTTAAGAAAAGGAATGGAAAATAGGTAGCTCTATCAATAGGCAGACAGAGTGAAAAATAGAGAACTCCGCAAACCACAGCTTATGTACCATTTCATGAGTAAGTCTAGATGTTTTAGTAGTCTGTCTTTACACAATAGATGCTTATTTAGTTGTAATAATGGAGACTTGAAATTCCTGTGTCCTCTCTCCAGGCGTATTCCAAGTAGCGGGCATCTGGCATTGTGTTCTGCTTCAGACTCAGTCTTATAACTCCTTGTTTTCAAAGACTTTTTCTGTTTGCACTTTCTTTTCATTTAAAGCCACCACCACTACCATCACCACCACCACCACCACCACCACAACAAAGCCATAGAATAAATAATCATCTTTCACTTAGGTAGGATTAGAAGAAATGGTTTTAAATGGAATCTGGGAGGGGATTTAGATAATACTAAAGAAAAAATTTAATGATAGTAACGTCATTTTAAAACAGACTAGATTCTCAATTCATCTCACGTGGCTTAGTTTGGGATAGAAATAGACTAATGTTAACAATGATTCTCAAATTTAGCATTCATCAGCAACAAGAGAGCTTGTTAAAACACTTGCTGGGCCCCACCCCCAGAGTTTCTGATTCAGCAGGTCTGGGCTGGGGTTCCAGAATTCATTTCTAACAAGTTTCCAGGTGTCACTAGTATGGGACCACACTTTGAGAACCTCTGGACTGATGGATTCTTTGATGTTTTCTGAAATCCCCTGCTCACCATATTCCTTGTCCCTTTAGAAACATGTTGCACTGGATGAATACCTAAGAACCTCTGCTTCTGTCAGTTGCTCTGTATTTTCACACAGCTGTACTGATACTGTTTTTTTCCAAAAAGACTTTGTTTGGGGTACAGCTGGTAGAGTGTGTGAGCTCCTCACTGAAAGCTGCCTCCAGAATGCCCTTCATGGACTGCCTTGCTTTCTTCCTAAAATCTTTCCCCAGGAGGGCATAGAGGAAGGGATTGAAGCAACTATTGGCAGATGCTAGAGCAATGGACACGTGGTCCCAGGAGAGCAGAGCTTCCCCAAAGGGAGTTTCTGAGTCAATAAACAATGACAGGACTCCAACAATGTGGTATGGAGCCCAGCAGACAAAGAAGACAGCTACCACCATCATGGCCACTTGCAAGGTTTTGCTCCGAGACTTGGTAAGGCGGCCCCGTCGCATTCGGAAGATAATAAGGCTATAACAGGCCACCATGACAATAAAGGGCATCAGGAAACCCACCACTAGCCTGGTGATGGTTATTGCCACCATGGGTGTTGACATTTGATTGCCATATGCAAATTGGCCTAAATTATCATCCAGGAAATCTTGTGATGGCTCATCAGGGTCTAATGGATTGCTATAAGCATTAGATAAAAGCTCTAAATCAGTAGAGAAAGAAGCATCGGAGTTATCCAGTGGGTTAGTTCTGTCATCTTCAATGGGAAACTCGCTGGGGATTGTAGGTGAGACCTCATCAGCAGGTTTAAATAAATTATAATATGGATGTTTATTAGATAATCTAGCAGAATCCATAGGGAATGAATCTCCAGAAGGTCTTTGAAATGTTTGAGAATGGAGAACAGTGGTGGCTGTCCAAGGATGATCATTTGTTTGTAAAGAGAAAGAGTCTAATCTATTATTCATTTCTCCAGGCAGTTGAACAATGGAGTTGTCAAGAGATCCATTTTCCAGTAGATCAAAGGTGAAGTCGGAATAATCTAATGATCTGTAGGGATCAAAATTGTAGCCACACATATTATGGTTGTCTACACTGAACGTTTCCCGGTATATGAACACAGGTATACACATTACAAAAGCTAGCACCCAGATACATCCACAGATAGTGAAGGCTGTCCTCACATTGCGATGATTCTGGCACCAGATTGGCTTGAGGATCAAAAGACAGCGGTCCAGGCTAATGGCAGTCAGCAGGAAGACGCTGGCAAACATGTTGAGGATAATGATGGAGGGGATGACTTTGCATAGGAGCCAGCCATAGGGCCAGTGTCCTTGGAGAGCCAAGTGAGCCAGGGAGAAGGGCAAGGAGAGGCAGCAGAGAAAGTCTGCTAGCGTGAGATGGATAAACCAAACTGTGTTCACTGTTCGCTGCATCTTTAGGCCAGCCACCCACAGCACCAGCCCGTTGCCTGGCAATCCCAATAAGAAAGTGACGCTGAGAATGACCATGGAGAGAACTACTTGAAATTGATTCCGGAGCTGTGGGAGTAAGTCAGTTGAATTGGTCTCAGCAGAGAAAGACTCCATTGCTAAATTCCTGTAAAAAGATGAACAAAAATGTTCAAACTAAGAGTGTCTTTTAAAAAAATGGGTATTCTTAGAATTCTAACCTTCTCACATAATGATGTACAACCAAAAAGGCTCTCAGACTGTTTTAATTTATAACTCTTGACTTAGCATTGGACTACACAAAAACATTCTCTGATAGACAATCTAAAATCTACAGTATAAATTTAAATGTGTATCAAAATAATAACCTCATTTGGAAGTCTATATCAATGTGAATTTCTCCTCTTTCTTGCACCTTTAATCTCTCGTTGTCCACTGGTTCCTTTCCTCACCTAGTGTCCCCTATTCAAAACAAACAAATAGGGTAAATGGGCAAATAATAACTTCTAGATCAGAGGTTCTCAACTTGAGATCCATGAAAGGGCTTTAGGAATCTCTGTCACCACCTCAAATAATATGTAAAATTTTAACTTTGCATGTTTTTATTTCTTTGAGGGCAGAAGGTCCATCCGTTCCTTCCACCAGATTTTCAAAGGACTCACCATTATGGAAAAAGGTGCTTTAGACCCAGTTATGTCTTTTAGGTACAACCTCATCTTTTCCTTTTGCTGTCAAATTTCTCAAGAGTTGTTTACCCTCTTTGTATTAATTTCCTCACTACTCATCATTTCTTTCTTTCTTTCTTTTTTTTTTTTGTGGGGAAGATCAGCCCTGAGCTAACATCCATGCTAATCCTCCTCTTTTTGCTGAGGAAGACTGGCTCTGAGCTAACATCTATTGCCAATCCTCCTCCTTTTTTTCCCCAAAGCCCCAGTGGATATTTGTATGTCATAGTTGCACATCCTTCTAGTTGCTGTATGTGGGATGCGGCCTCAGCATGGCCAGAGAAGCTGTGCCTCAGGTGCGCGCCCGGGATCCGAACCCTGGCCGCCAGTAGTGGAGCGCACGCACTTAACCGCTAAGCCACGAGGCTGGCCCTATTTCTTTCTTACTTACTTGTTTTTTATGAAAATAACTTGGGAAAAATAGCTTTATTATTGCAGAAGCAGAAACATGCATGAAGAAAATTGGAAAATATAGACAAGCAAAAATAAAATAAAAATGTCATATACCACCAGCTAGTGATTACCTTAATTTACATCCTTCTGAATCTTTTCTCATATACATATATGTGTATATTTTTTGTTAAGCAAAATTTAAGAAAATTAGATCATACTATGCATATAGGTTTTTAAAAATTTTTAATAGTGGTAAAATACATGCAATATAAAATTTACCATCTTAATCATTTTTAAGTGTACAGTTCAGTAGTGCTAAGTATAGTCATATTATTGTGCAACCAATCTCCAGAACTTTTTCATCTTGTAAAACTGAAACTCTGTATCTATTAGAGAACAACTGCCCATTTCCCTTTCCTTCCAGCCTCTGTCAGCCACCATTCTACTTTCTGTTCTTGTGCATTTGACTACTCTAGATACCTCATAGAAGTGGAATCATACAGCATTTGTCTTTTTGTGACTGTCTTATTTCACTTAGCATAATGTCCTCAAGGTTTATGCATGTCATAGCATGTGTCAGAATTTCCGTCCTTTTTAAGGGTGAATAATATTTCATTGTTTGGATCTACCACATTTTGTTTATCTATTCACCTGTTGATGGACATTTGATTTACTTCCACCCTTTAGCTATTGTGAAGAATGCTGCTATGAACATGCTTATAAATGCGTGTTGTTTTATAAACTGCTTTCTTTTTTTAGTTTGCAGTCTCCACATTATACAGTATGATTGTACCTTACGGAATACTCTTTATCCAATTTTTTTCCAACTGTTCCAAAAACATCCTTTATAGTTGAGTTTTCCACAATTATATCCAATCTAAGATCACACTTTGCATCAGATGTTATGTTTCTTAAGTCACTTAATTTAGCATAGTTTCTCTTTTTCAAGGATGCTGGCTTGTTTTGGGGTCTGTTGTTCTCACCACTCACTTCTTAACCCTTTGTAATTTGTCTTCTGCCCCATCACTCTGCTAAAATTACCTCTAAATAACAAATCAAAGCATCTTTTTCTGTCTTCATCCTCCACAATATAATGTGTCATTTTATACATTTACTCCTTAACACTGTCTTCTCTTGGCCTCTGTAACATTACCCTCCCCTGATTCTGAACATTCCCGTAAACCTACCTTACTTTATAGCTTTCCTGAACAACTCACTATTCCAAGTTAATGCCATTTTCTATTTCTTGGCTAATACCGTTTACTTCTATCTGGAATTAAGTCCTTCACCTTAATATCCTCTTTCCTCCATCTTTAATCTCTACTTGTTGAAATCCTAGTCATTCTTCAAGATCAAGCTCAAATATTATATCTTCCTTGAAACCTTCTAATACCAATCAGAAATTAGTTCTTCAGCCTCTTAATTTTTTTTTGTGTGTGTGGTTTGAACCTCTTTTCGTATTCTCTATGCAATGATGCATTTTGTCTTGTATTATAATTATTGTTGTGGCTGTCTTATCCATCATTCTGGCCTTAAATTTCATGGTGGTGAAAGGAGTCCGGTTCCTAAATTCTTGTTCCACAGAATTTAGCACAATGCCTTGTATGACATAAAGATAAAGATTACTTGAATGGGTGCATGCTTATTTGGGGGAGTTTATCTTTTTTTTCCTTTCTCAACTAAATTTAAAATTCTTATTCTTATCCATTTAATCCAGTAAGGATGCTATCTCTTCTAACTTCCTTTTTGTTTTCCAGTTCCCAATTCTTCCTGTCTATAACAGCATTTTATAGAGTCCCAAAATAATTTTGTGACTTGGAAGCAGTTCTGCCGAGTTAACCAAATGTTGTCATAGAGTCTTATATAATCAGCAGACATTAAAATAACCGAGTCAACAAAATAGTAAAAAAGAAGTGATTCTCATTCCCCTTTCTGTAACCATACCTACTCAAATATTCAAATCCTGTCAGGATCCCTTCCTTCCCTGTTGTGCATGGCAGCTAAAACGATCAACCATTCTACTCCAACACACACACTCATGCACAGATCTGTAAAATATTGAAAGAAGAATAGAGTCCTAGAATGCCAGGACTGAAAGGAAATTTAGCAATCATCTCTCCTTGTCTTTACTTTTATTTTGCAGTTTTGACACTGAAACTCAGCAAATTAGGTGACTTTCACATATTCACAACTCGGAGAGTTCTCAGATCCTGGGTCCAATGACTGTCAGACCAATACTCTTTTTTTTTTTTCCTGAGGAAGATTGGCTCTGTGCTAACATCTATTGCCAATCTTCCTCTTTTTCTTTTTTCTCCACAAAGCCCCAGTAAATAGTGGTGTATCACAGTTGTAGAGTTATAGCTCTTCTGTATGGGATGCCGCCTCAGCATGGCTTGATCAGCGGTGAGTAGGTCCGTGCCCAGGATCCGATCCGGCAAACCTCGGCTGCCAAAGCAGAACGCACGAACTTAACCCCTACGCCATCGGGCTGGCACCAATACTCTTTTTACTACAAAGCATTGCATAACTGAAAAGCCTTTGGTATTGCTAATAAAGGAAAAGCTACTGAGAGCTGCACAAATTGAAGTAATAAAGACTGAAGAGAGCAAAATTCCAGTATAAAGAAATTGAGTCATGTGGTGTGATCTATATTTTAAATATCACATATCATCTGTCTTGAAATGAAAGTATATATGAATTAGAGTCTTAGAAGTCTTTCAGAACAAGATTACTTTTTACATTTCTCCAAGTGTTTGGCTGAAAGATACCTCTATTTTTAAGATTAGTAGAGGACTTTTCTTTTAGTTTTCTATATTGAATTAGCCGATAGTAATTAAAAAGATAAATAAAATTCTGAAACTAAAATTCAACTATGATAGGAAATAAATTTAGATTCCAGAGTCAAATACTAATGATAAGATGACAGAATCATTAGCAATAAGGAATGAGCAAAAGAATAAAAGAAAAAAATAGGGAAATGGAATGAGAAAAATATATATGTAATGAAAAGAGAGACAATCAGTGATTTGAAAAACAAATCTAACAGGGGAAAGCTGCAATCAAAGGTCTGAAGGAGATACATAGCCAATTTAAGAGAGGGAAAAATGACATAAAAATTCACTATTAGTTCAAGAATGAAAATATGAAAAGCAAAGTAAATAGAATGTGGAATATTTAGAAAAAGAAAGGTATGCATAGGGATAAAACAAAAGAAATAAAAGTTAGGGAAGGAATAGGGGGAAATAGAAGATAACGACCCTCAAACCATTTTCTATGATAAGCAAAAAAAACAAAGCACAAGTCATCAAATGGATCTAGGTTTTCTTACCAAAAACCTGAGACAGTAAGTGAAGGCTTCAGAACCAATCTGGAGTGCCCACAAGTCCTGTCTGGTCCCCACACTTAACTGCAGTCAAGTCATGAAGTATGTTTAGGAAATTTGCTGAGCTTGTCTTTCTTCCTTTCTCTCTCATTTCCGATGATAAACTTCACACTTTTGACTACTATCTGACTTCACAGGAAGAGTTTCAAAATGAGTCATTTCTAAATGTCTTAGATAGGAAAAGTCAAAAAACAGAAGTGAGAGGGCATGATTCTCAGATGTTTTCTGCAGGGAACAGCGTGTGGTTAGAGAGAGAGTACTTCTCTGCATAAGCTTCTCACTTTATAGGCTTCTTCTTTTGTTTTAGAAATGCAAAAGGAAAAAAAAGTGTGAGGGTGAGGATGGAGAGCAGTTGGGAGGAACGACTGCATAACCCCATGGATAGAATCTCAAATCACATCTCTTTTAAATGCTTAATATGTGTGAAGAAATGTGCCATGCCCAAATCAGATGAATTAAACTGTGTTCTAGTTTCTAGAGATTCATGATCTAGTGAGAATATGCACCTATATACAAAAAACTGTAATACAACACAGACTATAATAGATGTAACAATAGATGTCATAGGTACGGATATATTTAGCCTGTAGCAATCTACGAAAGTCTTAATGTAGAAATAAGATCTGAGCAGGTCTTTAAAGAACTACAGGACTTCTACAGGAAGAAAATGGTGGAAAGCTGTTTACAGTGTAAGTGGAGCATATCAGAGGCAGGTCGGGGGAGAGTGTGTCAGGCACTGGGGTATGGGCAGAAATCTAGTCAATCAGACTCTTTCATCTGGAAGGAGTGCAGAAGACGGAGAGTGACCTTGAGCAATGATTCCTGCTTGAAGTGTACATTGTAAAGAATTCTCACTCACATTATTCTTTTACATTTATGCATATGAAATAAAGTTTATTTGGGTCAAATGTATTTGAACACTGTCACCCATGGTAAGGCTTCAGTCCGTATTAATCAACTTATTGTCCAAACAATAATAGCTGCTTCTCCTCTTGTTTGCAGTCAAATAACCTTGTAACATTTTTGAGGCAGAAAGACCCAAGAAAAATGCCAAGTTGAGTTTTATTGTTTTATTTATTTATTTCCCTTGTTATTATCTAATTACAAGAGTAGTACATACTTCTAAAAAAGATAATTTAAAAGAATACAGAAGTACAAGGGGTAAAAGAATGAATGTTTTCATTTCCAATTCCACTGCCTAGATGTAACTATTTTTAGTAGGTTAGTATTCATTCTTCGTGAACTATTTCTAAATACAATACACATTTTAAAAAAAAGTAGTTTCAAACAAAAATGGGATTATAATTTACATGTGATTTTTAAACTTTATTTTACTTAATATATCAGGACATATTTTCATGTAGTGCATGTAATTGTATTAATTACATTCTGTTTTTTTAATCCAGTATTTGGAAACATTGAATAATGAAGGTATTCAGAAAGCAGAGATATCAAGCATACGAAAGATAGACAGTGTTACCAGCAATTTTATATATATATATATATATATTTCCTTTATTACACACACACACACTTTATATAAAGTAATTTATTTCCATGGTAAAAGATTTAAATATAGAGCGATTAAAGTAAAAACTAAAATTTCCTGAGCATCCAGCTATCCTAGTTGTACTCCCAGGAGGTAGTCTCTTTCACAAATACAAATGTAATTCCATTAAACACGTTTTATTCTGCTTTTTCCACTTTCTTTTCAGATCAGGACAGGCCCACATCACACTTTTTTAATTGCTCCATGTTATTCCATTTAATCAATTATTCCCCTGTTGATGAATAGTCTGTTTTTAATCCAGTTTTTATAGAGTTGCGATATTATGATTTATAAGAAATATATATTTGATCATTCAGATGACCAAAATATATTTTTCATACATATTTGGTCTTCATTCACAGTTCCTGGCTCACAGCTCTCAAAACCCTTGGAATTTCGGAAGTGTTGAGAGTGATAAAGTTGTTTTTTGTTTTGTGAATAAGGTAACTTTTGGAAGCACCTAAGGATGGGGGCTGGTTGCCAGGAAAACCAACCATATGATTAGAGGGTTGGAACTTTCAGTCCCCACCCCACAACATCTCCAGGGAGGGGAGAGGAGCTGGAGGCTGAATCAATCACCAGTGGCCAATGATTTAATCAACCTATGTAACCAAGCCTCCATAAAACCCCAAAAGGACAGGGTTTGGAGAGCTTCCGAGTTGGTGAACACATGGAGATGTGGGAGAGCGGCATGCCTGGAGAGGATATGGAAGCTCTGCGCTCTTTCCCCATGTCTTGCCCTATGCATCTCTTCTATCTGATTGTTCCTGAGTTATATCATTTTATAATAAATCAGTAATCTAGTAAGTAAAATCGTTTTCTGAGTTCTGCGAGCCGCTCTAGCAAATTAATCAAATGCAGGGAGGAAGCTGTGAGAACCTCTGATTTATAGCCAGTTGGTCAGAAGTACAGGTAACAAACTGGGCTTGTGCCTGCCATCTGAAGTAGGGGGGTGGGGGGACACTCTTGTAGGACTGAGCCCTCAACCCGTGGAATCTGATGCTATCTCTGGGTAGACAGTGTCAGAAATGAGTTGAATTTTCAAACAGCCTGCTGGTGTCCACTACCACCCCTCTCCCCCACCCAAGTTAGAAGTTGGGTCCAGGAATCCTATGCAGCAGTTATAAACAATGCTTCAATGAGCACTCTTGTATTTTAAACATCTATAAATATTTCTGTAGAGTAAGTTCCTAGAATTGTAATTGCTAAATGTAAGAGCATGTGCATTTAAATTTTCAAAAGATGGGATTTCCCAGTAAAGTGACTCCACCAATTTACACTCCCACCAGCAGTGGTGAGAGTATCTTTTCCACTTGTAAAAGGTAAGATCTTTACCATTAAGTTCAATACCATAAACATGTACTCTGCTCCTACTAGAGACACCATGCTTTGCACTGGAGGAAATGCAGAATAATGAGAGATGTATGTAATTATAACACAGTAAGGGCTGCTAGGAGGCTCAATATACTCTGGGAACACGGAAGAGGGAAAGATTAATTCTCATTGAAGCAAACAGGAGGATAATGCATGGAAGAGGTAGCACTTGAGCTGGGCTTTAAGGATGGGTAGAAATTTGACAGGCACTAACAGTGCTGTAAAATAATAATTTATCTATCTCTTTGCCCTACTAGACCATGAATTTGTTTCTGTCTCCAGTGCCTCCTATCATGCCTGGTATAATACATGTTTGGGGCATGAATGAATGAATGAATATTTGGTTGAAAAGGATGTTAACTTTTGAATATAATTCAAAGAGTTAATTTGAGTCTTTAGAGTTGTTTCTAGTGTAGATTCAGTTTTACTGATTCTTCTCTCTCTAAATATTATAAAGCAATTAAAACCAGCTGGAGAACTTACAGCTGCATTCCTTGGATTTTCAGATCAGGAAGGAAATTATTGACAACATCTTGTGAATAGTGCTCCTTTTCTGGAAGACTTCTATTCTTTCTTATAAAGTGCTAATTGTTTTTTTGGTGTAATGTGTAAAATTTGGGGGAATTTATGTGGTTCCTCTCTGTTTTGTTCCTTTTTAATATCTAATTATAAATTTCTATCAAAGGTCAGATGCTTTGGAGAGAATGAAAGTTTGAATATAGGGCCGGCCCTGTGGCTTGGTGGTTAAGTGTGCGCGCCGCAATGCTGGTGGCCCAGGTTCGGATCCCGGGTGCGCATCGAGGCACCACTTCTCCGTCCATCCTGAGGCCGAGTCCCACATACAGCAACTAGAAGGATGTTCAGCTATGACATACAACTATCTACTGGGGCTTTGGGGGGAAAAAAAAAAAAAGAAAGTTTGAATATATATTACAAAGGCAGTCATATTAAAACCTTTTATGAGTCACTGATTAATTCTACATTTTCAGTGATGGTGATCTGTATTCATTTGACCAAAACAAAAGATTTTAGAATCATGGAATCTCTAGCCTGTTTTGTATGAGAGAATTAAAAGCAAATGTATGAGAAAGTTTCTGTCCTTAAAGATTTTGATGAAAAGTGACTAGATCGGTTATACATACATAGACTGTATGTAACCAACACTATTCTACACTAAATATAACCAAAGGCCAAAAACTGGATGGCACAGACAAATGCTATGGCTAGCCAGCAAAAGGCAAGACTGATGGTAGTTAGAATTAACTAGAAAAATTTAATGGAAGAAGATTTTTGAGATGACAAAAGCACTAAATTAGGAATTTGGGTTCCAGTTTTAGTAATAACAACTTGACTTTGGGCTGGAGGCTTGACCTAGAAATTTTTTTTTTAGGTGTAAAATTAAAGAGTTGTATTGAATGATCCTTAAGGTTTCTTTTATGTCTCACAATCTATAATTCTCCTATTTGGGCAGGGAGAGAGAAGCTGAAAGGGACTTTCAGGAAGGAGGGAAGCATGAGCATGTATTAAGGTGGAGATGAGCCCAACGTGTGAATGAATGACACAAGTAAATTGGTTTGGCTGGAGTAAAAAGAACATACTAAGGAGTAATGGAAGGTAAGTAGAGAGTCTGAGTTTGGATCCCAGCTCTGCCCCTTAATAATTGTGTGACTATACAGAAGATAGTCAAACTCCGTGTTTTCATTTCCTCACCTGTAAAATGGGGATTGTGTCAGATATTATCTATTGATACTCAAGCCATTCCCACTCTTCCTTATTACCGCTCTATTGGAAGCCTGGATACTACAATGCCTGGACTTTCTCTCCATTGGGGTTCTGATTAGGTTCTGCCAAAGGGGCATATTCATGTGCTATTGGAAAGTGAGGAGAAAAAGGAATCATTACATTTGATTCTAGAACTTAGTTTGTGCACAGAGATTGCAAATCTGTTTTAAAAGTAAAAGAACAAAAACTATAACATAGAATAAACATTAAAACTATTAAAATAAAAGAGAGAGAGAGAGATTGAAAGGGGAATCCCTTAGCTTCT